CCCTAGTCATCCCAGTCATTCCTAGTCATCCTCAGTCTTCCCTAGTCGTCCCAGTTATCCCTAGTCATCCGTAGTCATCCCTAGTCATCCCTAGTCATACCAGTCATCCCTAGACATCCCAGTTTTTCTAGTCATCCCTAGTCATCCCAGCCATCCCTAGTCATCCCTAGTCATCCCTACTGATCCTTAGTCATCCCTAGTCTTCCCTAGTCAGCCCAGTCATCCTTAGTCATCCCTAGTCGTCCCAGTCATCCCTTGTCATCCCTAGCCATCACTGTGGTTACGGTTGTCATTGTTTTTACTCTTATCATCGTTGTCACCATTGTCAATGCTGTCACTGTTTTCACCTTTGTCACCGTTGTCGCCGTTGTTACCCTTCTCACTGTTGTCACTTTTGTCACCGTTGTCACCATTGTCACTTTTGTCATTGTTTTCACCGTTGTCACTATTGTCACTTTTGTCACTGCTGTCACCTTTGTCACTGTTGCTACTTTTGTCAATGTTGTCAACGTTGTCAACGTTGTCACTGTTGTCACGGTTGTCACTGATGTCACCATTATCACTGTTGTCAACCTAATATGGAGAAGGCATTGTTCGATTGGCCAATCGTTTTGTAGTATGACATCAAAGCGAATTATCGATTGATTTCTAGAAAGTTCTTGGGGCATTAATTTTTTTTGCTGAGCGTTCGCTTAGCCAACCAAAAGCCACACACGTTTGTATCCGTTCGACAAACCAATCAAATCGCTCTATTTCCGTTCGTTTGTTGTGATACGAAAATCGCTCTAACTGTCTAAGACCAGCAAGAAGGGGTCTTGAGAAAGCAAAATGAGAGAGCTGGTTGCCCAAAGGACAAGCTACAATACAAGTTCTTTTTGAGCCCTGATTTTGTCACATATTTTTCACCATCTTAATCACGTGGCCAAACATCAAACTTAACTATTCTTGTCATTTTTTGTTATGAAAATTCATTATCGCTTTATATTTAGTGCTCAGACGTATGGACTTCTGTCAGAGGTTGCAGAAGAATGTGATGAGGTATGCTGCAACACTGAGAAACTGAAATGCAACCTTTTACATTAACTTTGGTGATGTTAACCTGACAATGTTCTTTGGTTGGCTTTCCTTGCAGGATGTTGCTGATCCTTTGTTTGCTCATTGTAGACTTCATGCAGTGAAAAGGACATCACATAGCAAGGTGAGAAAAACACCAAATACTTGACCATATTTTCAAAATTGCCAGTATGACGCAGTTGGGAATGCTATAATGAAGTAATGGATGAAGAAATATGCCGTATGACAGAAACCTTTCTCTTAATGAACCCCTTTAAAGACAGACAACTTCCTTAAACAGAAATCTAAGGTTTGTCCTTGTTTTTGTTCTTTGAATGAGACACACACCTCCCTAAAATGCCTGCTGTTCGTCAGTCACTGTCACTGTTGTTACAGTTCTCACTGTTGTCACCGTTGTCACTGTTGTCACTGTTTTCACTGTTTTCACCTTTGTCCCATTTGTCACTGTTTTAACCGTTGTCACTGTTGTTCCTGCTGTCACTGTCGTCACAGTTCTCTCCGTTGTCACTGTTGTCACTCTTGTCACCGTTGTCACCGTTGTCACTGCTGTCACTGTTGTCACTGTTGCCACAGTTGTCACCGTTGTCACTATTGTCCCCGTTTTGGCTGTTGTTACTGTTGTCACAGTTTGCACCATTGTCATCGTTGTCGCTGTTGTCACCGTTGTCACTGTTGTCACCGTTGTCACCAATGTCACAAATTTCACAGTTGCCCCAGTTGTCACCGTTTTCACTTTTTTAACCATTGTCACGGTTGTTACTTTTATTACCATTCTCACTGTTGTCACTGTTGTCAGTCTTGTCACCATTGTCACCAATGTCACAGTTTTCATCAATGTCAGTGTTTTCACTGTTGTCATGGTTGTCACCTTTGTCACCGTTAACACTGTTTTAACCGTTGTCAATGTTGTTACTGTATTCACTGCTGTCACCTTTCTCACCGTTGTCATTCTTTTAACCGTTGTTACTGTTTTCTCCGTTGCCACCGTTGTCACAGTTGTCACCGTCGTCACTGTTGTCGCTCTTGTCACCATTGTCACTTTTGTCACCGCTGTCACTGTTGTCACTGTTGTCACCGGTGTCCCCGTTGGCACCAATGTCCCTGTTATCACTCTTGTCATTGTTGTCACTGTTGTCACCGTCCTCACTGTTGTGACTGTTGTGACTGTTGTCACCGTTGTCACTGTTCTCACAGTTGTCACCGTTGTCTCTGTTGTCAGTCTTGTCACTCTTGTCACCGTTGTCACGGTTGTCACTGTTGTCACCGTTGTCACCGTTGGCACCAATGTCACTGTTGTCACTGTTGTCATTGTTGTCACTGTTTTCACCATTGTCACTGTTGTCGCTGTTGTGACTGGTATCACCGTTGTCACTGTTGTCACTATTGTCACCGTTTGCACTTTTCTCATTGTTGTCACTGTTATCACCGTTGTCATTGTTGTCACCGTTGTCACCGTTGTCAGTGTTGTCACGGTTCTCACCGTTGTCAATGTTGTCATTGGTGTTAACTTGTCACTGTTGTCACCACTGTCACCATTGACACTGTTGTCACTATTGTCACTGTTGTCATGGTTGTCACCACTGTGATCATTCTTGCTGTTGTGACAGTTGTCACTGCTGTCACTGTTGTCATTGTTGTCAAAGTTGTCACTGTTTTCATTGTTCTCACTGTCGTCACAGTTCTCTCCGTTGTCACCTTTTTCACCGTTGTCACTGTTGTCACTGTTGTCACTGTTCTCACCGTTGTCACTGTTGTCACTGTTGTCACTGTTGTCACTCTTGTCACCGTTGTCAACGTTGTCACTGTTGTCACTGTTGTCACCGGTGTCCCCGTTGGCACCAATGTCCCGTTGTCACTGTTGTCATTGTTGTCACTGTTGTCACCGTCCTCACTGTTGTGACTGTTGTGACTGTTGTCACCGTTGTCACTGTTGTCACTATTGTCACCGTTGGCACTTTTGTCATTGTTGTCACCGTTATCACTGTTGTCACCGTTGTCAGTGTTGTCACGGTTCTCACCATTGTCAATGTTGTCATTGGTGTTAAACTTGTCACTGTTGTCACCATTGTCACTGTTCTCACTGTTGTTACTGTTCTCACTCTTTTCATGGTTGTCACCGGTGTCATCATTCTCGCCGTGGTGACAGTTGTCACTGTTTTCACTGTTGTCACCCTTGTCACTTTTGTCACTGTTATCACTGTTGTCACCGTTGTCACCGGTGTCACTGCCGTCACTGTTGTCACTGTTGTCACAGTTGTCACTGTCGTCACTGTTGTCATCGTTTTCACCGTTGTCACCGTTGTCACTTCTTTCTCTGTTGTCACCGTTTTCACTGTTGTCACAGTTGTCGCCATTGTCACTGTTGTCAGTTTTGTCATCGTTGACTTCGTTGTCGTTGTTGTCACTGTTGTCATTCTTGTCACAGTTGTCACAGTTTTCACTGGTTTCACTGTTTTCACTGTTGTCACCGTTGTCACCGTTGTCACTGCTGTCACTGTTGTCACTGTTGCCACAGTTGTCACCGTTGTCACTATTGTCCCCGTTTTGGCTGTTGTTACTGTTGTCACAGTTTGCACCATTGTCATCGTTGTCGCTGTTGTCACCGTTGTCACTGTTGTCACTGTTGTCACTAGTTTCACTAGTGTCACTGTTGTCGCGGTTGTCAGTGTTCGCACTGTTGTGACCTATGTCACTGCTGTCACTGTTGTCATCGTTGTCACCACTGTCACTGTTGTCACTGTTGTCGCTGTGCTCACTGTTTTCAGTGTTCTTACTGTTGTCACCGTTGTCTCCGTTGTCACGTTTCTTACTGTTGTTACTGTTGTAACTGTTGTCAACATTGTCACCGTTATCAGTGTTGTCACTATTGTCACCGTTGTCACTGTTGTCCCTGCTGTCACTGTTCTCAGTGTATTCACTGTTTTCACAGTTGTCACCGTTGTCACTGTTCTCACCGTTAACACCGTCACTATTGTCACTGTTGTCACTGTGGTCACCGTGGTCACCGTTGTCACTGTTCTCACTGTTGTCAGTGTTGTGACTGTTGTCACCGTTTTCACTATTGTCGCCGTTGTCACTTTTGTCATTGTTGTCACTGTTTTCACCGTTTTCATTGTTGTCACTGTTGTCACTGTTGTCACTGGTGTCACCGTTGTCACTGTTGTCACAGTTCTCACCGTTGTCACTGTTGTCATTTTTGTCAACCTTGCCACTGTTTTCACTGTTGTCACCGTTGTCACTCTTGTCACCATTTTCACTTGTGTCACTGTCGTCAGTGTTCTTACTGTTGTAACCGTTGTCTCCATTGTCACTGTTGTAACTGTTGTCAACAGTATCACCATTATTACTGTGGTCACTGTTGTCACCGTTGTCACCGTTGTCCCTGCTGTCACTGTTGTCATCGTTGTCTTCGTTGTCGCCCTAGTCACTGTTGTCACTGCTGTCACAGTTGTCACTGTTGTCACTGTTGTCACTGTTGTCACAGTTGTCTCCGTTGTCACTGTTGTCACTTTTTTCACTCTTGTCACTGTCGTCACTGTCGTCACAGTGATCACCGTTGTCACTGTTCTCACTGTTCTCAATGTTGTCACCATTGTCATTCTTGTCGCCCTTGTCACCATTGTCACTGTTGTGACCGTTGTCACCCTTGTCACTCTTGGCATTGGTTTTACCGTTGTCACCGCTGTAACTGTTGTCACAGGTGTCAACGTTGTTATTTCTGGCACCGATATGACTTGTAACAGTTGTCATTGTTGTCACGGTTGTCACCATTGTCATCGTTGTTGCTGTTGTCGCCGTTGTCACTATTGTCACCTCTGTCAGCGTTGTCACCCTTGTTACTGTGGTCACTGTTTTCACCATTTTCAAGGTTGTCACCTTTGTCACTTTTGTCACTGTTGTCACCGTTGTCACTCTGGTCACCATTTTCACCTTTTTACTGTTGTCACTGTTCTCACTGTTGTTACCGTTGTCTCTGTTATCACCGTTCTCACTGTTGCCACTGTTTTAACTGTTGTCAACACTGTCACCGTTATCACTGTTGTCACTGTTGTCACCGTTGTCACTGTTGTCACTGTTTTCACAGTTGTCGCCGTTGTCACTGCTGTCACCGTTTTCACTGTTGTCACTGTTGTCACAGTTGTCACCATTGCCATCGTTGTTGCTGTTGTAACCGTTGTCACCGTTCTCACCCTTGTCACTCTTGTCGCTGTTGTCACCGTTGTCACTGGTTTCACCAGTGTCACTGTTGTTGCGGATGTCAGTGTTGGCACTGTTGTGGCCGATGTCACCGTTGTCTCCGTTGTCACTGTTGTCACTGTTGTCACTGTTGTCACTGTTGTCACCGTTGTCACCATTGTCACTGTTGTCACTGTTGTCACTGTTCTCATTGTTTTTCAGTGTTCTTACTGTTGTCACCGTTGTCTCCATTTTCACGTTTCTCACTGTTGTCACTGTCGTAGCTGTTGTCAACATTGTCACCGTTATCACTGTTGTCACTATTGTCACCGTTGTCACTGTTTTCCCTGCTGTCACTGTTCTCGCTGTTGTGACTGTTGTCACAGTTGTCACCGTTGTCACTGTTGTCACCGTTAACACCGTTGTCACTGTTGTCATTGTGGTCACCGTTGACAGTTGTCACTGTTGTCACTGTTTTCACTGTTGCCATCTTGGTCACTGTTGTCACTGTTTTCATTGTTGTCAGCGTTGTCACTTTTTTAATCATTGTCAGTATTGTTACTGTTGTCACAGTTGTCACTGTTGTCATTGTTTTTACTGTTTCCAACTTTGTGACTGTTCTTACTTTTGTTCCTGTTTTCTCCGTTGTCACTGTTGTCACCGTTGTCACCGTTGTCGCTGCTGTCACTGTTGTCACTGTTGTCACAGTTGTCACCTTTTTCACTATTTTCACCGGTTTCACTGTTGTCACTGTTGTCACAGTTGTCACCTTCGTCACTGTTGTCACCGTTTTCACTGTTGTCACTGTTGTCACCGTTGTCACCATTGTCCCCTCTTTCACTTTTGTCACTGTTGTCACAGTTGTCGCCGTTGTCAGTGTTTGTCAGTGTTGTCAGTGTTGTCATTCTTGTCATCGTTCTCGCTGTTTCACTGTTGTCACAGTTGTCAGTGTTGTCACCGTTCTGACTGTTTTTGCTGTTGTCACAGTTGTCTCCGTGGTCACTGTTGTCACTGTTTTCACCGTTGTCACTTTTGTCACTAGTGTCAAAGTGTTCTCTGATCTCACTGTTGTCACTTTTTTCAGCGTTGTCACTGTTGTCACCGTTCTCACTGTTGTCACTGTGTTTACTGTTGTCACCGTTGTCACTGTTGTCACAGTGTTCACCATTGTCACTGTTTTCACTGTTGTCGCTTTTGTAACCGTTGTCACTGTTTTCATTGTTGTCACTGTTTTCACCGTTGTCACCATTGTCACTGTTATCACTGTTGTCACTTTTGTCACTGTTGTCACCGTTCTTATTGTTGTCACTGTTGTGACTGTTGTCACCGTTGTCACTGTTGTCACTTTTTTCATTGTTGTCACCATTGTCACTAATGTCACTGTTGTCACCGTTGTCACTGTTGTCAAGGTTCTCACCATTGTCAATGTTGTCATTGGTGTCAACCTTGTCACTGTTGTCACCATTGTTACTGTTCTCACTGTAGTCATTGTAGTCACTGTTGTCATGGTTGTTACCGGTGTCATCATTGTCGCCGTTTTGACAGTTCTTACTGTTTTCACCGTTCCCACTGTTGTGACCGTTGTGAATTTTGTCACTGTTGTTGCCGTTGTCACCCTTGTCACCATTGTCACTGTTCTCACTTTTTTCAGTGTTCTTACTGTTGTCACCGTTGTCTCCGTTGTCACGTTTCTCACTGTTGTCACCTTTGTAACTGTTGTCAACATTCTCACCGTTATCACTGTTGTCACTATTGTCACCGTTGTCACTGTTGTCCCTGCTGTCACTGTTCTCACTGTTGTCACTGTTGTCACAGTTGTCACCGTTGTCAGAGTTACCACCGTTTTTATTGTTGTCACTGTTGTCACCATTGTCAACGTTGTTACTTCTTTCACTGTTGTCTCCGTTGTCACTGTTCTCACAGTTGTCCCCGTTGTCACTGTTGTCACAGTTGTCACTGTTGTCACCGTTTTCACTGTTGTCACTGTTGTCACAGTTCTCTCCGTTTTCACTTTTGTCACTGTTCTTACCGTTGTCACGGTTGTCACTGTTGTCACCGTTGTCACTGTTGACACTCTTGGCACCTTTGTCACCGTTGTCACTGCTGTCGCTGTTGTCACCGTTGTCACTGTTGTTAGTTGTCACAGTTGTCACTGTTGTCGCCGTTGTCATTGTTGTCACTGTTGTCGCCGTTGTCACTGTTGTCACTGTTTCACGGTGGTCACCGTTGTCACTATTGTCACAGTTGTCACCTTTGTCACTGTTGTCACTGTTGTCACTGTTGTCGCCGTTGTCAAAGTTGTGACTGTTGTGACCGTTGTCACTATTGTCACTATTGTCACCGTTGTCACTGTTTTTACCGCGTTAATTGTTGTCACTGTTGTCACGGTTCTCACCGTTGTCAATGTGTCAACCTTGTCATTGTTTTTACCGTTGTCACTGTTTCACAGTTGTCACTCTTGTCACCATTTTCACTGGTGTCAGTGTCGTCTTTTGTCACCGTTGTCTCCGTTCTCACTGTTGTCACTGTTGTCACAGTTGTCACCGTTGTCACAGTTATCACCATTTTCATTGTTGTCACTGTTGTCACCGTTGTCAACGTTGTCACTTCTTTCACTGTTGTCTCCGTTGTCACTGTTCTCACAGTTGTCTCCGTTGTCACTGTTGTCACAGTTGTCACTGTTGTCACCGTTCTCAATGTTTTCACTGTTGTCACAGTTCTCTCCGTTGTGACTGTTGACACTGTTTTCACCGTTGTCACCATTGTCACTGTTGACACTCTTGGTACCTTTGTCGCCGTTTTCACTGCTGTCACTGTTGTCACCATTGTCACTTCAGTTTTCACTGTTGTCACTGTTTTTGCGGTTGCCACCTTTTTTACTGTTGTCACTGTTTTCATTGTTGTCAGTGTGTTACTTCTTTAACCATTGTCACTATTGTTACTGTTGTCGCTTTTGTGACAGTTGTCACTGTTGTCACTGTCCTTACTGTTGTTCCTGTTGTCTCCGTTGTCACTGTTGTCAGTGTTGTCACCATTGTTACCATTGTCAGTGTTGTCACTTTTGTCACCGTTGTCACTGTTGTCACCGTTGTCACCGTTGTCACTGTTGTCACTATTGTCACTGTTGTCACTGTTGTCACTGTTTTCACCGTTGCCACCTTTGTCACTGTTGTCACTGTTTTCATTGTTGTCAGCGTTGTTACTTTTTTAACCTTTGTGACTATTATTTCTGTTGTCACCCTTGTCACAGTCACTGTTGTCACTGTTTTTACTGTTGCCAACTTTGTCACTGTTCTTACTGTTGTTCGTGTTGTCTCTGTTGTCACTGTTGTCACCATTGTCACGGTTTTCACCGTTTTCAATGTTGTCATTGGTGTCAACCTTGTCACTGTTTTTACCGTTGTCACTGTTGTCACCATTTTCACTGGTGTCACTGTCGTCAGTGTTCTCACTGTTGTCACCGTTGTCTCCGTTGTCACTGTTCTGACTGTTGTCACTGTTGTACTGTTTTTACTGTTGTCACCATTGTCACCGGTGTCACTGTTTTTACCGTTTTCACTCTTGTCACTGTTATCACCATTTTTTTAGTTGGCAGCATTGTCGCTGTTTTCACTGTTGTCACTGTTGTTGCCGTTGTCACTGTTGTCACCATTGTCACCGTTGTGAATGTTGTCACTGTTGTCACTGTTGTCATCGTTATCACTGTTGTCACTCGTCACCGTTGTCACTGTTGTCACCTGTTTCACCGTTGTCACTGTTGTTATTTTTGTCACCATTGTCACCGTTCTCACTGTTGTCACTGTTGTCATTGTTATCGCCATTGTTGTAGTTGTCAGCATTGTCCCTCTTCTCACTGTTGTCACCGTTGTCACTGTTGTCACCATTGTTATCGTTTTCACTGTTCTCATTGTTGTCACCATTGTCACTGTTGTCACTGTTGTCACCGTTGTCACCCTTGTCACTGTTGTCACTGTTGTCACCGTTGTTGTGGTTGTCAGCATTGTCGCTGTTCTCACTGTTGTCACTGTTGTCACTGTTATCACTGTTGTCACCGTTGTCACCGTTGTCACTGTTCTCACTGTTGTCACCGTTGTCACTGTTGTCACCATTGTCATCGTTGGCAACGTTGTCACTGTTGTCATCGTTTTCACTATTGTCACTCATCACTGTTGTCACCATTGTCACCGTTGTCACTGTTGTCACTTTTGTCACCATTGTTACCGTTGTCACTGTTCTCACCATTGTCACCGTTGTCACTGTTGTCAGTGTTGTCACTGTTGTCACCATTGTCACCGTTGTCACCATTGTCACTGTTGTCACTGTTGTCACGGTTGTTGTAGTTGTCAGCATTGTCGCTGTTGTCACTGTTGTCACCGTTGTCTCCATTGTGGCCATTGTCACTGTTGTCACCATTGTCACTGTTGTCATTTTTGTCACTATCGATTGTTTTCAATGTGACGTCATCAAATTGTAATGTTAAAATGGCGAGGTTTTACGAATTCTTATTTAGACTAGGTGGAAAATAAACAGAAAATAAATCTTTGTACAAGTTTCCAGTCCTGTAGCATGTTTCATTTCGAAAATACAGCAATTTGAACTTCCGAGTTTTCACAGTGCGTGAGACCAAAATAGGAATGCTGTCTCGTTGAAAAAAGTCTGTCCTCTTGATTTTCAGCAGGATAACCATTTCAGGTATTAGAAGGTATGTTTATGTGCATGTATGCCAGTTGTTGAGTGAAAAGAAAGAGCTTTTATGGAAAAAGTGAACTCCAGATTTTTTTGTTGATTTCCGGCGGCCATATTGGTGCACCAAAACTGTGCACCAATATGTCGTCCCCATACAAAGCTCTACAAAGGTGCGTGAAACGTTTCAGCAAATAACTCAGAAACTGTGGGCCACAAAGACCTTAGACTTGGACAAATTGTTTATATATTAGTCTTCTCTAACATTTCATTTTCTTGGCTTCTTCCACTGGACGGTTTGCAATTTATTTTTTTGTTGCGTGACAGTGAAAGTGCTCTATTGTCAGCGTTCACTGTTTTCACCTTGTCACTGTTGTTAGTGGTCACTGTTGTCACCATTGACCACTCCAGAAATACCATAACATACCATAATGTTCTGTGTTTGTCACCCCAAAATTTTGCATAAGCATTGTTTTCAGTTTCTCTTGGGGCCATTTTAACTCCCAAGAGAAACTGAAGACAATGCTTATGCAAAACTTTGGGGCGACAATCAAAAAGCATTATGGTATGTTATGGTATTTTCTGGAGTGGCCAATTGTCACTGTTGTCAGCATTGTCACCGTTGTCAACGTTGTCACTGTTGTGACCGTTGTCACCGTTGTCATCAGTGTCACTGTTGTCACTGTTGTCACCGTTTTTCACGGGTGTCACTGTTGTCACCATTGTCACCGTTGTCAACGTTGTCACTGTTTCCTCCATTTTCACCATTGTCACTGTTTTCACCTTTGTCGCCGTTGTCACCATTGTCACCATTGTCAGTGTTGTTGTCCTTGTGACTGTTATCACGGTTGTCCCTGTTCTCACTTTTGTTACCATTGTCGCTGTTAATGCTGCTGTCGCGGTTTTCACTCTTTTTACTGTGGTCACCGTTAACGCGGTTGTCATCGTTATCACTGTTGTCGCCAATGTCACTGTTGTAGCCATTGTCACCGTTGTTATCGTTTCCACTCTTGTCACCGTTGTCTCCGCTGTCACTGTTGTCACCGTTGTCATTGATGTGACCTTTGTCACCGTTGTTGCTGTTGCCACTCTTGTCACCGTTGTCACTATTATCACAGTTGTCACCGTTGTCACTGTTGTTACCGTTTTCACTTTGTCAACATCTTTACTATTGCCTCCTTTGTCACCGATGTCGCCGCTTTCACAGTTGTCGCTGTTGTTCCTGTTGTCACCGTTGTCAACATTTTTACTATTGTCTCCATTGTCACCGATGTTGCCGCTTTCACAGATGTCGCTGTTGTTCCCGTTGTCACCGATGTCACTGTTGTCACTCTTGTTGCCGTTGTCGCTGTTGTCACCATTGTCACTGTTGTTGCAGTTGTCACTGTTGGCACCAAACTGCACCACGATGCACCAAAAGCTTACCAAGTTGCACCAAACTGCACTAAGTGGCAACAATCTGCAGCAAAATGCACCAAGTTGCACGAAAGTGCACCAAGTTGCATCAAACTGCACCAAGTTGCACCAAACTGCACCAAGGTGCACCAAATTGCATCTAGTTGCACCGGTCGGTCTGTAACATGTTGCACTAATCTGCCCCAAGTTGCACCAAACAACACCAAGTTGCACCAGACTGCTCCAAGTTGCACCAATCTGCACTACATTTCACCAAAATGTTTGCACCATACTGCACCACGTTGCACAAACAACACCAAGTTGAACCATCTGCCCCAAGTTGCACCAAACCGCACCATTCTGCACCAAGTTGCACCAAAGAACACCAAGTTGAACCAAGTTGCACCAATCTGCACCACATTGCACCAAAATGAACCAACTTCCACCAAAAAGCACCAAGTTGCACCAAACTGCACCATGTTGCACCAAACAACACGAAGTTGCACCAATCTGCACCAAGTTGCACCAATGTTCACCAATCTGCACCAAAATGAACCAACTTCCACCAAAATGCACCAAAATGCACCAAGTTGCACCAAACTATACCAACTTCCACTAAACTGCACTAAGTTGTACCAATCTACACTACGTTGGACCAAAATGCATCAAGTTGCACCAAAGTTTACCATGTTGCATCAATCTGCACCAAGTTGCACCAATCTGCACGAACGTGCACCAAACTGCACCAAGTTCCATTACATTGCACCAAACTGCACCAAGTGGCACCAATCTGCACCAAGTAGTACCAAACTGCACCATGTTGCACAAAACTGCACCAAGTTGCACCAAACTACAGCAAGTTGCACCGATCTGCACCGAACTGCACCAAGTTGCACCAAGCTACATTAAGTTGCACCAATCTGCACCAAGTTCCACCAAACTGCACTAAGTTGTAGCAATCTGCACCAATCTACACTACGTTGCACCAAAATGCACCATATTGCATTACTCTGCACCACATTGCACCAAACTACGCCAAGTTGCACCATAATGCACTAAGTTGCACCAAACTGCACCAAGTTGCACGAAACTGCACCAATCTGCACCAAGTTGCATTAAACTGCACCATGTTGCACCAATCTCCAACAAGTTGCACCAAACTGCACGAAGTTGAACCAAACTGCACCAAGGTGCACCAATCTGCACGAACGTGCACCAAACTGCACCTTTTTGCACCAAGTTGCACCAATCTGCACCAAACTGCACCAAGTGGCAGCAATCTGCACCAAGTTTCATGAAACTGCACCAGGTTGAACCAAACTGCACCAAGGTGCACCAATCTGCACGAACGTACACCAAACTGCACCTTTTTGTACCAAGTTGCACCAATCTGCACCAAACTGCACCAAGTGGCAGCAACCTGCACCAAGTTTCATGAAACTGCACCAGGTTGAACCAAACTGCACCAAGGTGCACCAAACTGCACTAAGTTGCACCAAAATGCACCATGTTGCACCAAACTGCACCGTTTTGCACCAAACTGCACCTTTTTGCACCAAGTTGCACCAATCTGCACCAAAGTGCACCAGGTTGCACCAATCTGCATCAAGGTGCACCAATCTGCACCCAAGTTGCACCAAACTGCACCAAGGCTCACCATGTTGCGCCAAACTCCACCAAGTTGAACTAAACTGCACCAAGTTGGACCACGTTGTTCCAAACTGCACCAAGTTGCACCAAGGTGGACCAATGTGCACCAAGTTCCATTAAGTTGCACCAACCTGCACGAAGTTGCATCAAACTGCACCAAGTTGCATCAATCTGCACCAAGTTCCATTAAGTTGCACTAAGTTACACCAATCTGCACGAAACTGCACCAAGTTGCACCAAACTGCACTAAGTTGCACCAAAATGCACCATGTTGCACCAAACTGCACCGTTTTGCACCAAACTGCAGCAAGTTGCACCAAACCGCACCAAGTTGCACCAAAGTTCACCATGTTGCACCAAACTGCACTAAGTTGCATCAATCTGCACGAAGTTGAACTAAGTGAACTAAGTGGAATGCCACTAAAAAGTGGCATTCCACTTAGACTTCGCTAATCTACACTTCTGATCGCATTCTCACCACAATTGACCAAAAGAAAACATCAGCTGTAGTTCTCCTTGAAAAATTATAAGATATTGGCCTGTCACCCTCTGCCATCCTGTGGTTCAAGAGCTATTTGTCAAACAGGTACTAAGCTGTGCGTATAAATACTGCTCTTTCCGAACCCTGCTTATGAGGTACGGTGTTCCCCAAGGAAGCATCCTCAGTCCGTTGCTCTTTACGGCTTACACCAATGACTTGCCATCAATCCCACAACACTGTTCCGTGGACTGCTACATTGATGATACTAAATTGCTTATGTCAATCCAAGTGCAGGACTGTGAACCGACTATGGCCGCACTGAACGATGATCTTATTAAACTACGTAATGGGTCTTTTAATAATAGGCTACTCCTGAACCCGGACAAGACTAAACTGATTGTTTATGGAAGTCGGCAAATGATATCGAAACTTCGGGATTTTCGCCTTACCCTCTTGGGTAAAGAACTTTTACCTGCGACTCTGTTAAGGACCTGGGTGTAGTGTTTGAAGGTAAACTCTCATTCAACGACCACATAATTAAAACAGCATCATCTAGTATGTCTGCCCTAGGGCAAATTAGCCGAGTTAAACATATATCTAGAAAAGACATACTTGTTACAATAATTAATTCTCTCGTCTTGAGTAAGTTGTATTACTGCTCATCCGTCTGGTTGAATACTTCTGCCAGCAATATATGCAAACTACAAGGAGTACAGAATTTCGCTGCTCACATAGTTTCTGGGACAAGGAAGTTTGATCACGTATCTCCACCCCTGAAAGACCTGAGATGGATACCAGTTAAGTCCCACCTGTATCTAAGAGACGCCTTTTTGGCCTTTAAATATATGACAGGTCAGGTACCAAACTACCTCAGTTCAAATTTTATCTCCAGAGGGAATAGCAGTGGTCGGACGACCAAATCATCTTCCCAGCTTAATATACCGCTTTTGAAAACCAAGTCGGGACAGAGATCTTTTTATTACAGAACTGTAACATTGTGGAATGCGTTAAAACCCCATTTTAAATTAAGTGAATCTCTTACCATTTTCAAACGTAAAATGAAAGCCTTCCTTTTAAATCAATTTTTAATTTCATAAATTTATATGTAAATAGTATCTTAATAGTTTATTGATAATCAATTTGTGATGTCATAAATTCTATTTGCAGATAGTTTCTTAATAATTGTTTATTGACAATTGAGTATTTTTTATTTTTTTATTATATATTTATTTATTTAGTTGTATTATTATTTTTTTTATTACCTGTACTATTAATATTTGTCTCCGAAAAGCCCCCATGGGGAGTTGACAATAAAATTTGTATTGTATTGTAAGTTGCACCAATCTGCACTTAGTTGCACCAAACTACACAAAGTTGTTTCATAATGTTGACAGGCCATACACGACTCCCTTTGGTCAAGTTGTTGTATATCCTTGACCTTTAGGCTTCGCTTCATGATTTGTGTTGTTCATAATGTCGACAGGCTATTCACGTCTCTCTTTGGCTCAGTTGCTGTTGCTTTGACCTTACCTTCATAGTTCAGCTCTTACGAGTATATCTTGTAGTGACTTTCCTCTTTTGTAAGATATTATGGGAGGGTCTTTAAAGATTTCTCTAAGCAACGGTTGGTTTTCTATAAGATACCATTTGTGCATGACGATTTCTTTTTAGGTTCTGTACTGAGGGGCGATATTCTGTCAAGAATGGTAGTATTTTCTTGTGCGTTTTTGTTTTGTTTTGCAAAGCCGACATTCTTTCGTGATGCTTGACTTCTGATAGGTGTTTATCTATCACTTTATCTCTATAACCTCTCGTACGGAGTCTTGAAATTAGTTATGTTGTCTTCAAACATTTTCTCAGAAGAGTTTGTTCTAAGTGATCTTAAGGCCTCGCCTTTTATGAATCCTTTCTTAACCCCTGGAGGGTGACATGAAGAGAAATACGTGTATTGGAAAGTTTCTGTCAGTTTGAAATGTGTACGCACATGTAGGATTGATTCCTTCTTGAATCTTTCTCCTTTGTAAATACATGTATCTGGAAAGGCGGTTTCTGTTTCTGAAACTTCAGCAGTAAATTTTATGGTCGGGTGGTGGTTATTTGCTAGTTCGATGAATGAGTATATTTCTTCTTTGTCTACATACCACAATGAGAATATGTCATCAATTAATCTCTTCCACACTAGTGGTTTATGTGGACTTTTGTTAATAATTTCTGTCTGTATTGCAGACATAAAAATGTTAGCAAATGCAACTGCCATTTTTGTTCCCATAGCTGTACCTTGTACTTGGAGGTAGTTTTTTCCAACAAATTGCAAAGAATTCTTCCTTAGGATTATTCTGAGCATATCTGCGAGGTATTGGCTGGGTATTGAAGGTTTGTTTTGATAGAATGTTTTGTATGCTTGGCATATAATGGTAATTCCTTTCTCCTGTGGGATGTTTGTGTATAGGCTAGTTACATCCATAGAGACTAGGGTAGCATTTTCTACGACCCTGGTTTTCTCTATGAACTTAATAAAGTTTGTCGTGTCTTAAAGATACGATTTTTGCGATTCAGCAGTTGGTTGGAGGAGACTATCAACAAATGATGAGATTCTTTCCGTCGGGCCTTCGTAGCCCTATATGATCGGTCTTCCAACTGGTGTTGGTTTGTGAATCTTTGTGAGAGTGTAGAATTGTGGTATTCGCGGTGGATTTGGCATGAGGGATAGCCATCGTCTTGTCATCTTGTCTATATGTTTCTCTTTGTAAAGTTTATCTATCAATTTCTTGACCTTTCTGGAGGGTTCTACTACCATTGGTGTTTCTAAGGGTTTGTAGTTTTCTCTGTCATCTAATTGTGTTTGACCTTCTTTTATTTTGCCTTCTTTTGAGAACAACAGTAGAAGAGGCTTTATCTGCTCCTGTAATGTTGATGTTCGCGTTTTGTTTTAGTTGTGTGGGGGCAAGTTTTTCTCTCTTGGGTAGATTGTTTCTCGGCGTGATTGTATTTACATTAGCCAGTTGTAATTTAACTTCTTCTAGGTATGTTTCTAGTGGCTGAACTGATGGCTGAACTGGTGGCTTCCAGTCTGACTTTACATGAAAGGGGTTTTGCTCTTTATCTTTTCAATGAAAGATATATTGTGGATGCATTCGTCTAGGAAAAGCATTGAAATCTTTAAATAGTTCTGCTCTAATGTGACCTGTGTTTGTCACCGGTGTGGGGATAAATTTAAGACCCCTTGACAGAACATTTATCTGATCGCGTATCATTTTGTAATCTGAGAGGTTTTTGATATGTTTCTTTCTTGCTTCTGTTATGTTCTTATCTAAATTGCGCTATTTTTCGCCTCCGTTCATTGCGTTTTTTGGTTGACCATGACCGCTTTTTCTTTCCTCTTTCCCTTTTTAGATAATCTATATTCTCAAAAAACACTCTGGGATAAGATTCACTTTGTTTATTTTCTTTAGCATTTTGTTGAGGTCGGCTATTTCTTCTGGATATCCTCTACTTTCTGTTCGTGACTGGATTGTAGAGTATTAACTCTTACCTTATCTGACATGTCTTTCCTCTTTTCTTTGCGTGATTCCAGCCCTAGTTTTACGAGTCTAGATTTGCTCCTATCGACTCTACGGTCGTGAAACTTAACGAGTGCGCCTAAAACTTTTCGTTATGCGTCTTTTCTAATCCAGCTTATGTCTCGTTTGAATTCTTCGTCCCGGGCAATGTTTGCCCTTGCGTTATAACGCAAAGTTTTTGGACATGTATTGTCCTCAATAGGTTTCTTCAGTTTGGTGATGGATTCTGTGGACTTTTGTATCTTGTCCGTAATGGTGTTTTCAAGCTCTTCTGTAGTAAGGTGCTGTGTTTTAAATGGTATGTGTTCTTTCTGTTCACGAGAGTCATCATGATGATGTTTCTGTGGACCCGTTTTGCGCAGTTTTTGGACTTGGCACCATTTTCTTATCATTGGTGTTTGGCTTTTTCACCTTTTGTCTTTTGGCTTCTGTGGGGTCGCCATTTCTTCTCTCAGCATTGTTAGTCTTTCTGTTTCTTTGCAATGGCTGATCCCCATTTTAATGAAGGTTTGTGTTTTTGCGCCTTTCTGTTGACATTTGTCCACACGGTATGTCTTCGTCATCCGAAGCTAATAGGCTTTCTTCTGCGGGATCGTTGGCTATATCAGCGAGTATTGAAGGGCTTGTTGTAAGAAGTGCTTCTTCGTTTACTAGTTTGTTATCTGCCATGATGATTTCGAGAGTAAATTCTCAAGCAAGACTCGAGTTTCGCTCCTTTCAGTGGACCTCATCAGTTGCTACTATGGTAGGTTATGTTACCTTTAAAAGCATTCTGTTACAATATAAGGGCCTAAAGAATCAATGGTTCGTGCATTTCTTTTTCCAAAAAAGAAAAGCCTCAAAGTAGAGTATTACAATACGTCTCCGTAAAATACTGTAAGCTGGTTTGTAGCAAAAACTCTGTATTGCAGTGTCTCTTGTTTTTATAGTTTGACAACAAACATGTCAGTAATTAATTTAAAACATTTAAATCACTTATCGATATCGTACATTACAGAAATGACGATCCTCATTGTATGTCTTGGCAGTTGCTCTGCCAACGTTTGTCCTCACACGTTTGGCAAAGAGGGTGTTTTTCCGGTTGAATTCAAAATATAACGTGTGTAGTTCTTGCGGTATATAATGCTCCTTTCCTGTCTCAGTCAGACAAAACACTCCTGAGCAATACTTTCAAATACTTGCTTCACTAGTGAACCATACTCTCTTCTCATGGTCTCTTTGGAAACTGTTCAGTCGGGTTGATTTCATGAGTGCAGTTATGCACCAGCAGAAACAACTAAGCTTAGCTTCAACCAATCTCGCTGTGTTTCACTCAGCAGCGTTTACGCTCTCAGCATAAAAGGAAGCATTATGCGTCATGTTTAAACTGATGGCAGTACGAAGTGTAAACATTTCCATTATCATCTCAGAAATTTCCATTTAAAAGGAGGTCTTCAAACGAAAACGCAACATACAATTGACAAAAACAAGAGCGCATTTTTATCCACCACTTTGCTTCTCCCAGAATTCCGCTGCAGTCGCAAGTTAATTTCCATTGTTTCTCGGCCCCGCCCTCGCAACGCCTCTAGACCAGTTAGTCAAGTGACCAAAACACAACACTTACAGGGGGCAATAACGTGGAGGAAAGTGCTGTATTATTTCGCTTTTCTACGTTCTTACTTAGTAATGGTCCAGTACATCAAATCGTTTGGCAGGGAGCAATCATAACAACATAAACAAAGTATAGTTTTACGGACCAGAGTTTGTACCCTTTTTCAGAAACAATTGTCCAGGACTTTCCCACTCTTCAGGTTGAATAAACAGAAAGTAAAATAGCGACAAATTGATTGAGCACTAAATTCTCAGAAGTAACATAAGAAATCCATGGTGGATAGTTAGTAGAATTATTATTCCCATCTTGGGATTGAAAGTTTCTAGTAGTTGTTTGTGACGTTGCATTATATTTCAGTTTACGGTTTGATTATCGTCAATAAAATCACCATCAAGGACTAGCTCCTAGTTTTGTGGTCATAGTTGATTCATGATCGACCAGTAAAATATACCTGCTCACACGGAGTTTTGCCGCCACAAATAGTTTTAGCCGCGTGACAATTGGCTTCTCCTACAGCTGCTGGAGCTTTCCATCCAACTGCTCATCAATGCCTTTCAAGGCTGCCCTCTTTTCTTTGGCAGATCTTCGCAAACTGTTTGAGTTGGCCACCCAATCAAGGTTTCTTGAATTTTCCGCCTTGTCAGCAAATTCATGTACAGTCTTCAGAAGAGCCCTTATACCATTTCCAGCTGTCATTTTTCTTAAGCTCATAGCAATTTTTTCTGGGACACTTAACTTTTCTGCGCTTCTAGATAGGAAAGATACTTCTGTCAAGGTCCAGATGATATAAGAAGTTGCTTTCAGATTTGTCAATTGACAAGGCCTCAAACTGATTAAATGTGACCATGAATAATCCTCTGGGCACTGAACGATCTCTCTGACAGGTTCTCAACTGCCACTTATTGTTTACAGCAAAGCCTCTATTAACTGTGGATTGACCATGAGACATAGGCAGCAGTAGTTTAACCACACTCACTGACACTTTAGCTAGGTGCTTATTACCAGTCATGTGTTCATACAATAGTGAGTCAACTCTTGAAGGGTTCACTTGGGTCAAAATCTTCAAAGACAGGATTACCTCCACGTTCATATAGAAACTGTCCAGACTGATATATCTCCTTATCACACTCATTAGTTTTCAATCTGTGGGCTTCCAGAAGAATTTCAAGAACTCTTTTCATTTTGCTGACTCATGTTTCTTTCTCTCTTGCCATTAGCATATTTCTTACTAGTCCATAATTTATTGGTGTTTTGTCAAGCAGTTTAGAAGCTGTTTCTGCACGAAAATCTGTACATTCCATTTTGAATTGAAGAACTTGCCTTTCACAAATTTCTCAGACTTTTCTTTCAGCATCTGTTGTGCCACAAAGCCAACATCAGCTTTCTTGTAGTCTAACTGCTGTTGTTTATTGGTAGGCTTCAATTTCAGGATCGTCAAAGGAGATGTTGCATTTCCTTAAGATGAATATGCTTCTTTCCCTTTTCGCAGCTTTTCAGCGCTGATTCTCCCATGTTTGATACATCAAATGCCTTCGAACAAATTTTGCATTTTGCTTCAAACTTGTCTATGTCACGTTCCAACCACAATTTATAGGAAGAGTTTCCAACCAATGTTTAAAACTAAAGACACTCATCGACTGATGTATAGGTCTCCAACTTACGAAATCATGCATATCTCAAGGTTACTAAGGGACTATGACAAGGAAAAAACATAAAAGAGAAATATTTATGTGGTCAAAACCACAGACGCATAGCATGTTATAATTATAATGATCAAAAACGTTTTTTTATTTGTTTTAAGGAAAACATTATTACTTTATTCAGTTTAACAGATTTCCAGGACTTTCCAGGATTTCCAGGACCTGTAAAAACCCTGATGCACTTTCGATGTACAAAGCTCGAATTTCTGTCTGGAAGGTAAAACCTAAATAGATGACTGTACAAGCTACATGTAAGCTAAGTGTTGAAGTTTATGATTGATTGTGTTTCTGTCAATAATAGCTGGATATAATTCGATGGTAAATACAGCTCAGAGGTTGTGTGCTGGCGGAATAACTTATCGTTGGTTGCTCTTAAAATCTGGGTCAGTAATTTGCATGGGAATTTTTTCGATACACCTTTAGGCTTTTATTAACGTTTTTGCCCTAATTACCAGAAAATTGAAATAAATGTTGTGGCGGCAATAATTGTTTTTTTTCTCTCTGCAACCTACCTGTTTTGATCTTAGCTACTTGGAATGTCTTTCAATTTCGGACTCTCACAAAGCAGTAGAAAAGAGACCTACTTTGTTAATTACATTTTGTTCGGGGTTCAAAGGAGATCAGCTTGACAGCTTGCTAGTCCAGACAGTTGTGTCCAATACTGTACACATGATACGAGTGGAAAAACACTTTTCACAACTTGTATGAGTGGACAAGTTGTCCCGACTCGACAGACAGAGTTAGCAAGTGTAAAGTAAATCTCATTAGTTTACTAGGGACGGCAACTAAGTTGTCCAGTCGTACGAATGGACAAGTTGTCTCGACCTGACAGACAGAGTTGTTGAGTGGAAAATGCATTTCATTAGTTAACTAGGAATGGCAACTAAGTTGTTGAGTCATACAAGGGGACAAGTTGTCTTGACCCGAAAAGACAGAGTTGTCGAGTGGAAACTCGTTCTATGCGAACAGATGCGAAGGAACAAGCGCCCTACACACTGTGTATGCCTTGTTCTATAAACAACGATCCGACATAAGCCACGCGAAGGAACAAGCGCGCTTCACACTGTATATTCATTGTTCTTTCAACAAAGATCCGACTTAAACCATGCGAAGGAACAGGCGCCCTACACGCTGGACCCTGTAGGATGTCAACAGAGAAAGGAGCACAGACTGAAAAGAAGTCAGTATTATAATCCTGGACCTAATGCCGTGTGACATGCGGACGGGTGTGACAAACTAAAACCTTATGGTTTTCACGTTCACAGTTGCATAGATGGCTGGAGTAGACGACTTTTATGGCTGGTGGTTACTCGGTCAAACAACTCCCCTGACAACATAGGCCGTTACTTCCTTAATGCAGTGAAGGCTTCAGGCGGATGTCTACATGAGCTAATAATGGACTTGGGTACAGAGAACAAGATCATGGCATCTATGCAGGCATTCTTTCGCGATGACATGAACAGTCACAAACACGTTGCATCCCCACAAGAACAAAGGATGGAAAGTAACTGGTCACAGTACCGAATGAATCGATCAAATTGGTGGATCAATTTTTTTACATACCTAGTTGAAAGTGATCTTAACACAAGTGCTTTGCAGAATAACTGCCTTTGATTCTGCTTTGCAGAACTACTACAGGAAGATTTGGATTCTGTGATAGAACACTGGAACACACATTGCACATTGCACACATTGTAGCCGGCCCTGTCTCACCTCATGCAAGGACACAAGTTGTTCATATCTCTCCCGTTTTATGACCTTGCTTTTCACTTTATAGGAAGATTTTCCTCCCTTAGCCAACTCTTCGGTCCATCTGCCCAAAGAACTTTACAGACAAAAAATAAGTCTACTATGACATTTGGAACTATAGTTTTAATTTATGACATTAAAGTTACACTAAACATTTTTATGCATCCTTGCCCGCTTGTCTTTTGTACCCTTATTATAAAGAGAACGTTTGGCTAAACTCTGGGGTCATCAGTCGAGCTATGTTTGCAAGAGCGCTTAAAGAAATAAGGAACAACGATGTGTTTGGGTATAATTTTGGCCATGCAAGATGGTCGATTTATTGTAAGAATATAACATCTTCAAACAAATTTAATTAGCTGTGATTATTTGATTTTTTACGCTCTGGCAAAGGTGAAGGCGGAGAAAAAAGGCACCCAGAGTAAATAAACTACAATTTAAAAAGGGGCGGAGGAAGGGAGGAGGAGGGTCAAATTCGCAAAGCTTGTTACGTCAGGAGACCAAGAGGAAGACTTCGGGGAACACAGCTTGTCGTATACCCTAACCTTAAATGAAGTCGAGGCCAAGTACTTTTGCGAACTAGCTTGTGATTGGTAGTTTTACAGCAAGTAATATTCCGGCAAGTAATTTACCAGCTAGTGATTTCCCAGCTAGTAATTTTCCGATTGATCTTGTGATAATCGTGTGATCAAAACTTGACTATTTTGTGTCAAATTGGACCCTGCTCACAGCTCTTCCCTGCCAATTACCTATGTTAAAGGTGAATGCGTGACTAGGAATAAGTGTCCCCCTTAGCAAACTAACATAAATTATTGCATGACTAGGTGACATAAACATTTTTATTACCAGGCAAATAAATTCCTATATTCTGGGCAAAACCAGTAAACTTGGTACATTTCTTGAGCTGAATAATCCCTTACATAAAATGTATCATGAAAACAAGGTTTTACCTACATGTATAAGTACACCAAATCTGGACATTATGCTATTAATTGTGCAACCACAAGTGTCTGTCTTTATTAAGAAATACCATAATTCAAAAGCAAAATAAATTGCAAGATGACAGGCCTTCTCAAAGACAAGTTTCTGCACAACTCATTGCATTGACTGTTTAAATTCGATATCTAGCTTTTTACTGCTTTTCTAGTTACAACCAAAATACATTTCAATTATTTCGAATAATGAAACCTAGAAAGTATGTTACAGAATAAGTATTGGTGTTATATGCCTGTTCATTAAATCTGGTTGCAAAAGATTGAAGTACATTAGTCTCCTTGAACTGCAAAGTGAATGTAGAAAATCTAAACACTCAGCTGTGCATTGAAATAAACAGACGATGGCATGAGTCATACCAGTACATGTTTTAAAAAGGTGCAGGGCTTGAATGTATTTCGATTTTACTTTTGTCATGAATTTATGGAAATAATTATTTAATATATTTTAATTATCATTTAAATCACAACAGCTGTTTCAATTAGTAGTTGCCAATAAATGTTTCATGGTAGCTTAAGGGCATGGTTGCAAAAGTTGTGTTACTACACTTAAAAATTTCTTATTTTTAATAAACATTCCAGTGCATCAAAATCAGTATCATCTATCATAACAATGTATCAATTCTTACCTCAAAAATTTTCCCATCTTGTAGACATCTTTCATTTAAAATTTGCACAATGACAATGCAATCTTCAGGATCATCCTTGTTTGCATGACTAGTTGCAGTATCATCTTTGACTATTGAGTTGCATAGCAGTCATGCAACTGACAATATCTCAGGCCTTTTGCGGGAGTATTTGGACGTCCTTCATAAAGAAGTACCTAAAGAAACAGTAATTCGAGAGGACTGCTACCCATTCTGCAGTGTATGCCACAAAAGGGGATATAAGCCAAAGAAGAAAATCACGAGAGCTTTCAGGCCACTGAATCACCCTTCCTATTGCAATATATCGTATGATGAATCACGTTGTTGTTTAAAACATGTATCAAAATAAAACAAACTTGTGTTTAGTCAATATCTGACGTTTCATTTTATTAATATTTGACCTAAGAACTCCAACTTATCTCTGGGGTGAAGGTACTAAAGTGTAAAGAAAGCATTCAATTGGAAATATCTAAAAAGTTGGAAATAACAAAGAAAGCGCCCGCCTGCTTGCTATTTTATAGAAAGACAAGAAACATTTGCTTTTTTTATTATTGCCTAGAGGTAAACTGCCTCAAAATTTAAGCCTGAATAACACTAGCACACAGGAACTTTAAGGCTTTGTAACATCTCTTTCATGTACAAAGGTCTGTTGCTGAAGAACATACAATCTTATCAAGAAAGACAATATACATCCACAACAAGAGACCGGTTGGTTGTAGCTACCACATGCATGAATACGTATGTAAGCTTCACTTTTTTTTAAATATCTACTAGCAATAGTTGACACTACAGCTGCCCTGCTCTGTATATTGTCGGTCAATAGCATCCTTGCTCGTCGTGTAGCACTTTGAAATATACCAATTCATAAGGAAGATTTTCACTCATGTTCCATACAATAGGTGAGATAAATACAGGAAATGCAAAGTTCCATGCACAGTTTCAGGTCGATTTACACAGATTTGATCACAACTTTCTCAGTTTCAAGAATAGGTTATTCTAAACGATAAGAAAAGATTTAATTATAAGTTGAACTTTTCGCTATTTCTCTTTCACTTTTTACATTCAGTTCATTTTATTTTCCAGAAAGGAAGCCTTAGAAATGAAAAGGACGTTTGATCAATTCACACTCGCGAATTCTAGTCTTATTTTAAACTTTATAGCAGAAGGACATCTGTGAGCAGGGAATAAGTCAGCACAGAATTTGATTGTTGGCGATTTCTGTAATCGTCCATCGTTCTGCTAGTGAGAAGCTAGCCATTGTTCACTCGTCTTGCTGTTTGGGGCTGTCTTATTCCGGTCAAAGAGAGAGAAAGAGAGTCTGGCAAGGTTTCCAATGAAAGATTTGTGAACTCGTGTCTGGCAAACTCTCCAAGTGTTTACATATGCACAGTTATACGCACCTTATAACTTCTGCGCTTAACGAGTGTCGTTAAAATTTTGGTCCATGACTTTCACTGAGACAACTGCTCTGCAGAATGTCACTGATAACACGTAACGCAAAAGAGTGTTGAAGTATGACTGCACAATAAATATCACAAAATCTACCTAAGCAGTCCCTTGAGGATCTTCTGTCCTTACGTCATCCTAATCATTTCATACTTGCGGGTGCAAACAATAGAAACGTCATCATTACCTACCAATTCCTCGCGGCCCCTGTTCAAGCAAATCGATATTTTTTCTCTATTGACTGTATGACTATATTTCAACTGTAAGTACTTTCCTTAATATACGCGTGAGTTACTAGAGTGCCTCCTCGGGATTTCGCCTTCTGGGTGAAATCCCTGCGGGGGCAGTAAATTTATTAGACCTCACTTCAGCTGAATTTTTATAAAAAGCAAAACCTTATCTCTCCTTAAAATTTCTTACCTCTTTCTGATCTGACATTGGTGCCTTTGAAAACAAACACGTTTTAAATGACTGACGACAACTTGCATGCCATCTTAGGGGGTAATTACATGAGACCAGGATGACCTTGGACCGGTACGAACCTGTACCATTACAAATTTTTTCAGCTGTTTACATAAGATACGAACGAATTGCTTGGTTGATTACTTGAAACTGGTACAAATTCAGAGATAGCAATAGTTAAGGGACATAGTGCCTCAAAATGGCGGACTCGCAAACACTGACTCTCGCGTATCTTCAACTGCTACTGCTTTCTTTGTCTTTTTGTTTACTCATATTATCATAGTAGTGCTAATATCATTGCTCAGATTCAGAAAAATGGTGAAGCTAAAAAGAGGAATATAATACAATGCGAAAACACGGCTGGTCCAAGTATTAAACAGCTCAAGACAACACCAAAGAAAAGAAGATAATGGGTTGCTTCGGGAAGGATGACAGGTGGTGGATGAACATGTGGGGTGGCGAACCTATTGCTGAAGAATGGATGAAAAACTTTGGAATGCCCAGAGAACAATTTGAGGCATTGGCTGATGAGCTAAGTCCATGTATTTCCCCTGATCCTTCATCTGCAAGAATGGAACTCTCAGTTGAGAAAGAACTGGGAATCACTCTTCAGCTTCTGAAGGACACTCGAAGTGTTACTCTAACTGCCAGTGCATTCGGAATCAGTGCTCCAACTGTATCAAAAACAATTAGAAGTGTTTGCAATGCAATAAATACTAATCTAGGACCCAGGTATTTAAAACTACCAAGAGATAATGAGCTCTATCAAACAGTCAACTTATTTGAGGAAAGGTTTGGATTCCCACAGGTTCTAGGAGCTGTTGATGGCGGAGACATTGCAATCAACAAGACTACAAAAGACACCCAGAGTTATTTCTCCTACAAAATGAAGTATATTCTTTATGTGCAAGTGGAACATTTCTTGATGTTGAAATTCGGTGGGCTTGGGTTGGGGCACACATGCTTCCAAGGTTTTTGCCAACTCAAATATCAATAATGCTGTGCAAGAGGGCAGAATTCCGAAGTTATACAAAACTTTGCTCCCTGGTAGAGAGAAGGTGCCTCTTTTCTTGTTGGCTGATCCAGCATACCCCTTACTACCCGATTGTAGGAAAGAATATTCGACTTGCTACAATAATGCACAAGTAATTTTTAACACAATGTTACGAAGTGCTTGCAACCAGATTTAGTGTGCGTGTGCTTATGGGCGATTAAAAGCCAGGTTGTCCATTCTGATACCATGCATAAATTTCAGCCTTGATGATATCCCAGTAAGAGTCTATACTTGCTTTGTATTGCATAATTACTGTGAGATTAACAAAGTAGGAATAGATGAGATGTAAGTAGCGTCTCTTCAGCAAAGCAATGCAGATGAAAGACAAAGGTCTCTTGATAGGAGATATAGTGTTACCACTGCTTAAGGTGTTAAGAGTGAGTCCATGGGTGCACCAGGCAGGCGTGCTACATGCCATCTCTCCCAGTTCGCTGAAACTTGGCCAGTTTAAAGGGTCTACCCCAAAACTCAAAATGACAAACTGGTTTGTAGTTTGGATCTTTATGGTGGGAGATAGCCCACCCAACTAGTTTAATTTGATTTTTTACCAATAAAAGGGCATTAATAAGAGGTAAAAGTAGGAAGCTCTCAGGACAACTGTTTTTAACCTTTGACTATGAGGGTTTGTGTATATGTTGATACGTCTTTAATAAATGCAAGAATATAAGTTTCAGTCAATTTGATTGACATCTTGTCAATCACCGGCCTTGAATATGGGACCACCTTTTTAGCCATTCAATTATTTGCTGATTTTGAGATCGAATATCTCTCCTTGCCAGAAAGCTATGACAATAATTTTGTTATTCCCTGCTTAACAACCCTTTGGTCTATAATAAACACAAAAAAAATTTCTGGGCGCTGCCTTTTTTTGGCGTCAGATACCAATTGAAAACTACACCTGAAACAGACTCATTCCCACTTCACCTTTCCTACAGTTCAACAGTTAATGGCTGTTTAATTTAATAAACCGACACTTTCTAGCCCGTTGTACAAGAATTGTAATGGAGGAGTTTAAGACATGCTTAAAACGATCGAGATTTGGCGAGAAAATTCAAGATTTGACACTGATTAGTAATGCATGTCACCAAAATATCGAAGGCAAAATCGTAATCTTTGTGAGCTCGTTTAGAGGTTCTCGCAAAATCAGAGATTATTCTTCTTAGGAGTTAAACTAATAATAAGTCGTCTTATTCAAGTGTTTATTGTCTATTGTCTTTATTGTGAGAAAACCAGGCTGTTCTTAATTTCCTAGGGGAGATTTCAAGGCCACATGGTGCGCGGTTGTTGACAAACTTTGAGTCACGCCAGTACACGCCAGTCATAAAGCAATGTCAACTCGCACATCTAAAAACAACATTAAATGATGAGAAATTCTTCCTTCTAGCAATAAAGAAATTAAGGTCTTAAAAAATTCGTTTAACTTCTGGTTACGACCTCGGAAAAAAAACGGTATTAGAAAGAAGTATCGTGTTATTTTCACTTACCGCCGTCGATATATGCTGTGTGACCAGACAATATTTGTTCAAAATCAACTTCTTTGCCTTCAAGCAAGGCTTTCCGATTGGCCTCCTTATCTCTATCACTATATTTGTCTCTTCCTATTGGCATTTTTCGGCAAATACAGGTTGTTCGAAACTCTGTCACTCGATCACCCTCAATCAATATTACGCCCAAGTATTATGTGACCAAAAAAAAGAGCCTACAATGTTTTGTTCAGCGAATTTCCCACGCCTAACCCGGAATCTAAACAATTTTCGGTCGTCTAGAGTGGAAGAAAGAATGAATTTTAAAAAACAAAACATACCAAAAAAAATTAAATTGCCTTAAATCATTTATGAATTTACTATCTTTTGATGGCGAAGTCCACACATTTTCACCTGCAAAACAAGTTGTTGTTGCTTTTGAAAGATAACTGAATTATCTTGTTTTATTAGTGAATAACCAAAGTACTATTTTGTAATCGTTATGATTCTGTGACTCTATACAATACTAACATGTAAATTACTTAAATTCATTTAAAGAAATTCTATTCTTTTGCAAAATTAGGCTTTATTGTACAGGACTGTACCGGCCATGGTACATTTGTACCGCAAATTCCAGACGAGACCACAGGCGGCCCAAGCTCAGTGTGTGAGTTTAATCGTTAACACATGTAGTTTCATATTGCGTAATTTAAAATGGCCGTGAATATAAAGGATTTGTATGGGAATTCAGGTAAAAGATTCAAATCGATAAATACTCGCTACTTGACTAATGCCAGCATCCTCTTCACGGCAATCGAAAGGGCAAAGGTGACAGAGGAGTCAATCTGAAGACGGCAAAAGAAATCAAGCGAAAGTGGAACACTGTAGTTCCAGTCGGTGCAGGTAATTAAAAAGATTTTATTTTGCATAGGGTGTTGTTACTGACTTGCTTACTTCCTATGCGCACGGCAACTGATATGAAAGGCGGATAGACAAACATACTCAATTGGACCGTGTGACCCGAAACGCATAGATCACGCGTGGAAGGGGAGGATAGGCAAGGAAGGCCTTCCCACGAGGCTTTGGGCAACGTGGGTTAGTCAGACCCGTCCCTAGTCGTCTCTCATTGACCCTCTCCCTATTAGCATAGGCGCGCATGGTTTGATGGGTATGATGTGTCTTGCGAAGTCGACTGGGGATGAGTTAGACCGAGACAACTTCGAAGGTGCTAAGCAACCTACCAAGCTAAGATTGTTACTTCAGCTGTGTTTTTTTTACCTATATGCTGTTAATTTACTATCCATTTTGAAAATTCTGCTATAAGACTTTTAAAAGTGTGTGAAAAGGAAATTCGTGTCATCGCAGGCGCCAATAGCTTACTCATCAGTACCAGGGCGCATAGGTGTGATAATCATTCTAGTAACTCGTGGACGAATTTAATTAATTTTTCCTAAATTAAGTAGCCGCGATAACGGGGGTAGCGAGGGGAAAGGGTTTGGTAGTTTATTAATAGGGCACATGTCCAACTTTTTTTTAATTCTAAAAACCCACTGAGTATACTATAAAATGAAGACTTTATATGTAAAAAAATTCCTACTTACTAGGCATATGCAGATACTGTAGAAGTGCCCACTCTGAATTTATGAAAGAGTGTGAGCCACCCTCTGTGTTGGCTACCTTAACTGAGGGATCCCAAATTTCTGCTACGCAAGAGGGGGATTTTGTGGGTCACACTCCAGCGAGATCAACAGAGCACGTTGCAACAGAGTCAACTGAGCCAGAAGAAGATGAATTTGTGTTACCACGTTTGCGAGTGCGATTTCAACATGAGATTTTGAGCGAGGTAGGATTGATGTGCCTCTTAAACATGTTTGAATTAATAAATTTTAAAACTCCAAAAAAGAACTCATAATATATTTAATAATGAGGTTATCATATTTTGTTCTACTTAATTTTTTACCTAATTCGACTGCGTGGTTCATGTAAAAGAGTAATTATAACCGCGTCGTTCCACTCACTCGCGGTTGCATATTTTGTGGATATTGTAGTAAATTATTACGGCAATGGTGGGCGACGAAAGGGGTAACATTATTTCCTGTTCCCTACCCTGTGCTCGTTCTCGTCACCCCCCAAACTCGTACTTCATGCTTGTCTCCTAGCAGCCTGCAGTTAATGTCCGCGCTCCGCATAACTGTACTTAGCCTTGTAAAGCCTATGGAAGAGGCAGAAGCAACTCAGACACCGAATGACATGTATTTCTAATTACTTAGGCGCACATTCGATGCATAGGTTCCTACCTCACTAAGAAAAACTGTTCGTTTTATTATAGCAAAGCGATCCGAATTCAGAGATCTTCTCATCGTCCTCCCAAGGCTCCTTGGTAGAGGAAGAGACGTCTAGAGAGTGGCAACCAACACCCCAAGTTGAGCATCAGTTGCAGCACCTCAACAGTTATCTCCTTAAGTCAACTGATGGCCGAATCAGTCCAGTCAGGTCGCAATGCAGGTCTGATGTTGTGACTATGTCGTCATCGACGCGGCGCTATTATGGGAAAAAGGCAGAGCAAGTTGTTGATTCCGTGTTAGAGGCTATTGCACCGGGTAATTCATCATGGCTGCTTCAACAGGTGATTGCAAGGAACGAAAGCGGGCGTACTGTATCTGGTGCTGCCGAGGACGACAGCCTGGTCTCTAGACTAGTAACGCTGTATAATGAAGCTAGATCCTGGAACACCCAGCAACAGATTCTCTCCCTCTTTGCTGGTGATTACAGTAAGACAGAACTGCTGCAGCTTGTGCCAGGACTGACAAAGTTTAGGATTGATGAGGCCAGAAAACATGCTTTTCAGACCAAGCCTGGAGAGCCTATAGAGCCGCCAACCATTACCAGAACAAGGCTGGATCCCACTAAAGTCGACCATTTCGTAGATTTTGTATCCAGTCCTTCATTTCTTCAAGACGTTGCATATGGAACGAAAACTCTAAAGCTGTCAAGCGGAGAGAAAATTGACATACCTAACGTGGTGAGAACAGTCATTTCGTCCCGTCTCATCCAGCTGTATCAAGCCTATTGTACAGAATCCGGCTTCACACCCCTTGGAAGATCAACACTTTTCAATATCCTTAAGGTATAGATGGATATAAGGCCATGTGTTAGACGACAATTTTGGTTTTAATAGACGCAAGTTATTCCGTACTGTCTTAAGCTTAGTGTGTGGGAAAGTGTGTGTGTATGTGTGAGTGGAGAAGGCCAGTACAAGCTGCAGATTTTGCTTGGTATGACAAGAGGATTTTTACCCTCTTGTTCAAGCAGTACATTATTGACTACAATATACTTTTATACTTCAGGTGTGCGCTGCTTCTCAGAAGAAGTCCTTGGCGGGTTTGGACAGCATGCAAACGGACGGTGTAACTGCAATTTCATCTCTTGAAGTAGTAACTAGCATACTACAGAAAAACGGTAAGACGGAAAATTAGGTGAAGTCTAGCCTTTTGCCTTATTTCCTTGAATATGGGACGCAATGTGTTGGTGTTTTTGTGTTTGGTGGGTGGGCGCACTCATTTGAAGTGAGCTTTTTTGAGAGGGGCGTATGAGAAAGTTCAGAGGAAAGGGAAACAAAAACAAAAATGAGTAAGTTGTCAATTGCAGGAACCCTTTTTATGTTTTAAGGTTAATTTTCTAATATATACTTTTCTTCCAAACCACTGAGCATTTCTTTCCTGAGTGCACCTGTGAAATAGTTACAGCCTGGAAAACTGGGCTAACAAAAAGAAAGGTCAATAAACGAGCTGCATTTCCTAATCGAGTTTCCCTTTTGTACATGCTGCTATCTTTGGTACGTCAAGGGTTTTAGCTAATGGAATTGTATCCATGTAGGTTTTCAAGATGAAGAGGCAAAGGGAATTTTGTCCCGTCTCAAAGCTGGAAAAAGATATGTGTCAACAGACTACAAGCTGCACATCACTACTGAGACTCCCTGTGCAGACCACTGCAGCATGTATGCACTTAGCAGCAATGAAGCTCCCTTTTCTTAATTTTCTCAAGCAACGATGAAAAGCTGGAGGAACTTCAGCATGATCTTGAGGCGGCAATCCCAAAACTTGAGATGTGGAAGTCACATGTCATAAGATCTGTACATCAAGATGCAGCCAAGACTGCCGTTGTTGATGCCCTTACCGAAACTGAAGTATTGCTGATCATGGACTGGGCCATGAAGTTTTTACCAACAAGCTACCGAGAGACTCAGCGTGATTGGTTTGGGAAAAAGGCACTACCTTGGCACATAACCGTTGCCATTACCAAGGACGAAACGAAGAAATTGAGATACCATTTATGTAAATGTTACAATCGAGTTAAAACTATACTTTATTTTCCTTAAAAGATATATCGGAAATAAGACCAGATGCTAAAAAACATTTATCTGTCTTTCTGAGGTATAATAGCTGATTAAAACAATCAAAACGTTTGTAAAAGAAGACATTGTTTTGTATTGTAAAAGACCCATCTTCGGTTCCGGCCACAGCTGTAGGACGTAGTAATTACGATGTGGAATAGTAATTTCATTGCGAACCCTCAGTTTTTATCCACGCAATTTAATGCAATTTCTTTACAAAGATAACTGCTGCTATACAAGCCCCAGTGTTACTGAATGTCTGAAGTTAATATTTTGTTTGTTTGAGATCAATCGATTTTCTTTTACTCTTTAGACGCGCACCTACGTCCATCTGTTTGATGAGAGCATTCAGAACTGGTTTGCAGTGGCCTCCATTATAGAAAATACGTTAGAAACACTGAAAGCACTGAAGCCAAACCTCAACCAGGTATATCTTAGGCCCGACAATGCCGGCTGTTACCACTGTGCCTACCTTCTTCTGTCGCTCCCCAGTATTGGTGATCGTACCGGAGTCACGATTGCACGATACGACTTCAGTGAGCCGCAGGCTGGTAAAGATATCTGCGATCGTCGCACTGCTGCAATTAAAAGCCACATTCGACGCTTTCTTAATGAAGGAAATGATGTCAAGTCGGCCAATGACATGAAAACCGCCATTGAGTCTTATGGAGGCATCAAGGGCTGCTATGCGGCTGTGTGTCTACTTCAACCATCTGCGCAGACGATGAGCAAGCATAATATGGCTGGGATACAGTCGCTACATAACTTCCCTTACGAGAATGGAGGCATAAGGGTGTGGCGAGCCTATAACGTGGGTCCTGGAAAGTTTTATAGTGCAGCTCAGCTTGCACGGTTTGGTACTCCCCAAGGTCCTACAAAGCTCGTCATAATTCATCCTTTTGGCAGACCACATGTAGAGGTGGGTACCTATCGCCAGCAACACGCTATGCCTGCAAGATCTTCGTCTTTGCCTGGGTCACATCAAGAACCTCCTGAATCTGCACAGGCAGACCAGGTAGGAGAGAAGGTTATGTTTCATTGTCAAGAGGAAGGGTGTATCAAGACCTTCCAGTCATTTGCCTCGCTCCAAAGGCACCTGGACGTTGGTACGCACATGGTGAGACTGGTAAAGGAGTCCACCTATGACGAGATCAGGCGAAAATGGGCGGAGGCATGCCACTCCCTGGGTGGTGGCTATATTCGGGGAGATTCAGCTACTTTCGACTCCAGTGACCAAGCAACGCCTGGCGAAGTCTTGGAGCTAGGATGGGCTCTTCAGAAAAATCGAAAACCGGTAGCCTTTTCCGAGAAAGCGAAGAGCTATCTGGTAGACGTGTTTTGGGCCGGGGAGGAAATAGGAAAGAACGCCTCCTTTGTCGCCTCCAGAATAAAGTCTTTGAGAGACGAGAACGGGCAGAAGATGTTTACAAAGACCGACTGGTTGACAGAACAACAGATTGCTCGATACTTTAGCCGACTCTTCGCCCTCAATAAGGCTGGTCGATTACAGAGAACCCACTCTTCCTTAATGAATGAGGAAGAAGAGGCTGATGCCGATGATCTTGTTGTAGAAGCCGAGGCTGTCCGGACAAGGCAGCAGATAAGGAGGGACCTTGAACTTTAATTTTTTAAAAAATTGGTAGGAGTGCAATTACCTTCTTACCTAGTGGCACGAAAGTTTAGTTTTGCGAATTGGCGTTTTTTTTGTGTGTGTTTTGAGGGAACTAATTTTTGCAATTAGGACAGGTTTTCTTGCTGACAATGAACTTTTGCTATTTTTTTAAAGAAGTCCCGGGCAAATCAAAGATAATATTTCCTTTTTTATTGAATACATGCAAATGGCAAAAACATTCGTCAACAATTCCACTGTGTGTATACCCCATTTAAAACCAGCAAGACAGATTACTTTTCTCTGGCATTCGATTGCAAAAGCGTACCGCAAAAATTTTATGCCACACGGTAACTCGAACAAACAATGCTCTGGAATGAAGGCCGATAGTACCCAATCAGTGAACGTCGAGTTTATTCGAGGATTGTATTTCAGTTTCTTTTACAAGCCAGGAAAAATGACTGTGTGTTACATCCCAGCAAGAAGAAAAATACGTGCATGTTTTACATAAAATTTTTCAAATGATTAAGCCTTGTTGTCAACCTTGATAAGTAGAGTTTCAAAATAAATGCCGCCCTTGAATAAACACAGCATCAGGAACATGAAGTAAACACGGAATATTTAGTAAAAAAAAAGGTCACGACATTTTTCTTTCAGTTTTGCCTTTTTGGGAGACGAAAGCAAAAACGTAAATATTTAATTTTTGTTGCGTTTTGTTTTGTTTTTTTTTAATTTATTGTCTCTTCCTGTCTGGGCAACTGAAAATTGTTTGGAATTACCATGAAATTTCCGGGGTAGGCGCGGGAAATTCGCTGAACAAAACATTGCAGGCTCTTTTTTTGTCACGTAATACTTGGGCGTATAAATGTTGATCGAGAGTGATAGAACTCTGAAAAACTTGTATTTAAAAAAAATGCAGAGAGGAGAAACAAATAAGTCATGGAGATAAGAAGGCCATTCTGAAAGCCTTCCTTGGAGGCAAAGAAGAGGATTTGAAACAAATATTGTCTGGTCACGCAGCATACATTAGTTCGGCGTAGATCGACGGCGACCCGACGGCGGTAAGCGAAAATATCACCATTGTTCCTTCTAATATTCTTCTTTTTCCGAGTTCGTAACCAGAAGTGAAATAAATTTTTAAGAGCTTAATTTCTTTATCACTAGAAGGAAGAATTTCTCATCATTATGTTGTTTTTAGATGTGCGAGTTGACATTGCTTTATGACGGGCGTGACTCAAAGTTTGTCAACAACCGCGCGCCATGTGGCCTTGAAATCTAAGGAAATTAAGAACAGCCTGGTTTTCTCACAGTAAAGACAATAGACAGTAAACACTTGAATAAGACGACTTATATATAGTTTAACTCGTAAGAAGAATAATCTCTGATTTTGCGAGAACCTCTAAACGAGCTCACAAAGATTACGATTTTGCTTTCGATATTTTGGTGACATGCATTACTACTCAGTGTGAAATCTTTAATTTTCTCGCCAAATCTAGATCGTCTTAAGCATGTATTAAACTCTTTAATTACTAATCTTGTATAATGGGCTAGAAAATGTCGGTTTATTAGCTTGAGCAGCCGTTAATCCTTGAATTACAGGAAAGATGAAGTAGAAATAAACCTATTCTAGGTGTAGTTTTCAATTGGTATCTGACGCCCAAAAAAGGCAGAGCCCAGAAATTTTTTTTATGTTTATTATAGACCAAAGGGTTGTTAAGCAGGGAATAACAAAATTATTGTCATAGCTTTCTGGCAAGGAGAGATATTCGATCTCAAAATCAGCAAATAATTGAATGGCTAAGAAGGTGGTCCCATATTCAAGGCCGGTGATTAACAAGATGTCAATCAAATTGACTGAAACTTATATTCTTGCATTTATTAAAGACGTATCAACATATACACAAACCCTCATAGTCAAAGGTTAAAAACAGTTGTCCTGAGGGCTTCCTACTTTTACCTGTTATTAATGCCCTTTTATTGGTAAAAAATCAAATTAAACTAGTTGGGTGGGCTATCTCCCACCATAAAGATCCAAACTACAAACCAGTTTGTCATTTTGAGTTTTGGGGTAGACCCTTTAAACTGGCCAAGTTTCAGGGAAATCGGAGAGATGGCATTTAGCACACCTGCCTGGTGCACCCATGGACTCACTCTTAAGACCAGGGAGATTATAACTGATTACTTTAAAGAGTATATATGGTTACAGATTAAATCATAAAATCAGACATTTTATCCAAAAGACTGAACAAGTGCTAGAGACGTTTTTTTTGTATGAATAAGTATTTTCTATTTCTCGTTAAATCAAGACTTGCTTTGTATAAAAAATAGTTGATTTGGTCTGACCTAATTGTTTAGAAACTTCATGATAGTTTTAAACTCTTCAAGTGTGAATTAGCGAAAGTGTGCAAAGTGACTCTTTTCATTCCATTCATATTGAATTAATATATATTTTTAACAACAATATGTACTTTTGTATCTACTCTCTTTTGAGCGTGTCTGAGGGGTGTTTAGACAGTTAAACATTGTTTATTGACATGGCTTTAGTAACAGCAGGTAGTTTCAGGGCAGTACACGAAACCACTGAAAGCTTAACATGAAGAGCAATATTATTTAGTTACCTTATTGTATTGAGCACAGGCATGGTTCAGAAACACATGTACCTGGTTTATTCAACACTAACAATGTTCTATTTTTGCCCCTTTGGCACTCGTGTTACTTTTTATAATACATACAGATTATTAACATCATTAAGTTATATTGTAAACAGTCCAACTTTGGTTACTCTTTAACAAAAAATCAGAAAATTCAGAAAAAGACTGTCAAACTTCAGACAGTTTTACCAAAAGAGACCATACAGCAATTCTTGGTGTGCTTTTAAACAAAGTAATGAGAATGAGAATGTGAATGACTAATGAATACAGTTAATGAATACAGTTAACCAATTAATTGGTTACAGTGTAACCAACCCATGACCTGGGTAATAAAAGGTCTACCCCGCCTGTATTTTTAAATAACTGGCTGAATTTTCGCATCCGCGGTTGGTTTGAAATCAAAATCTTAATAGTGTGGGGCCATCGTGACATAAACACAACATGTTTCATATAAACATTTATAAAATTGAGCCTGCGATCATTTGAAAACCAGTAACTTACCAGCGGATAACTTCAAAAAGTATTAGACGTCGCTAGGTCAACATCTGAACAGGCAATACAGTCAGGTGATACTGGTCAGCGGATACCCTGTTTTACCAGCTGTCAACTGATCACAACATTGACGTGCAATCAGCTTCCTCCTGGGCTCTCAAAGTAGTTAGAAAGTGAGAAAGTAAACATTGGTTTTCCTGTGGTGTGGAAGGACGGCCAGGGGCGGTCGGTTGGTGTATAGTCACGTGATTACCAAACTTTCTGGGACGGGTAGATTTACAAAGCTATGGGGCTCCACCCATGCGCACTTTGCACACGTGTGGAGCTCCGCCATGAAGAACTATAACCAAAATAAACAGTAGCAATAAGTGTTCATATCGATGCTTAAATCCCACATGATCTCAGTCACATCCACTTTGGGTACAAACTTGGGTCATGGTCTTCTACACTACTCTCCTCCCAGCTGGCACTACTACTTGCACTTGTAGAGGCAGAAGCTACAGTGATGAAAGGATTTTGCCCCCCAGAAAACGGCTGTAGTACACTGTATTGGCTTGGATTGTTCTGATAAGCACCTCCAGAGGATGTACATGATCTTGCTGACAGTGTTTTGGTGCGTTGAACTAATAATTACTACCTTGAAGACAATTCGGCTGCTGAAACCCTGCCAGTATAGCCTAGCTTGTTTTTTAGGTTCTGGTGGCCCTGTTGAGACCCTTTGAGTAAATCGATGACACTGCACGTTCAGCAAATAAAATATAAGACCACAATAGTCAGTGTAGATGACTGGCTTATTGAATCCTTAACGTATTTGTGACGCCCATATAAGCCAATAAGGACTGTGTAACTAAACAATGAAATTCACATTATACATACTCTTCAGCTCCTCTGCATGAGCCTTAAAAGAGTCAATGCAAATGAAATGATCATATGGTTGTACAGCCCAATCAAACACTACTGCGATCTTCGTCTTAAAACATTTAATGCATACCCACTTCATCAGTTCAAAGTAGACAGACTGCAAATTATATTAGTTGCTAAAAAAGATATATCTACGTGTCGCAACTGTTCATCAGTAGGATGCCTAAAATGCATGCAATTCCAAAATTGGTTTCGGCTTCATTAAATCCTATACCAATTGCAGAACATTTTAGGAGGAGCCACCCACCATGTGAGCACAGTCACGGACAGCACATATAAGTGAGGAAAATAATGCAAAGTAAAATTAAGACGTTACTTAACGCACTAAATGTACACGTCAATTAAAAAAAATAAACAAATAATGCACGTGCTGAAAATAAAATTGTACGCGCACACGTACTGAGATACAACTGAAATACAACACTAAGCAATAAATAAGTAATATAAGGATACGATGGTGCAATTCAAGCCTGGATTGCTAATCTCATCTCCCGAAGGGCTGCACCATACTTCTCGACGATAAGACCTTGGTGACTGAAGAATTTATTAAATGGGTGGGTTCACATTCCATTCATCCAACATTCCATGGTGATCTAAGAGAGTCGTGTTCTAAAATCAATCAGACCATTAAAATAAACAGATGACTGCCACATCCAGTGAACAAAATATAAAGCTACAAATATCACAATGGACTGCTGGTCTAGCATATTTTTAATTTTCCTGGGATGC